CCCCGCACCGGCCCCGCACAGCCCTGCCAGCCCCTCGCTGCCGGCGGTAAGCTCGGGGCTGAGCCGCCCAGGAGCCGAGGCGATGGCGAGGCAGGCGAGCCCCGCTCGCCCGTGTGCGTTCTGCTCTGACTTTATGGAAAGCATCAACTATCGCTGCGGCGCGTCAGTCAGAGCCGGGAGCTGCCCGGCAGAGCAGGGCAAGGCTGGCTCGCTCTGATTTGGGCTTATGGTTATTTACTTAATGGAAACTCGACAGCAAACAGATAAATGAGAGAGGCTGCCGGGTCTCTGAGCGTGCCGAGTCCAACTTCTGACCGTGGATGAAAGAGGGATGCTGAGGTGGTGTGGAGACAGGACTGGTAAGAGCTGCCAAGGAGCAGGGCAAGCCAGAACAGCAGGACGAGGGGCACAGAGAAAGGTGGTGGGAAGGAAGAGAGGAGAAGAAGATAGGGGAAAGATCGGTTTAAATCCGAACGATTTCTTTTTATTCCTGAATGTAGCCTCCCGCCCTGGCCAAGGTGTTGGGTGTAGGTTTGTGATGCTGGAGGAATCGCTCGTTTTCTTGCCCAGAATGAATCCCTCCTGCCTTGTCCCCGCCTGACCGGGAGCCAGCAGGGACACGCGGGGAGCTCCGGGATAGAGCCGTGAAGTTCATCCCATACTTTCCCCCCTTCATCTCCCCCTTGGCACATTAGCATGCAGGGTAGGCTCTGGTGTGTATTTAACGACTCCATTTGCCGGCGCTGTCAGCTCACACCGCCCTTCTCCAGCCGCCTCCCCGGAGCAGCCGGCTCCAGCCCCGGCCGCCCCGGGGATCTCCGGGGCCCGGGGCCGCTCCCAGCGGGGCTGGGCAGCGAGGGCAGAGCGGCGAGCGGGGCTGGAACGGGAGGGGGCAGCGCCAAGCGAGCTCAGCGAGAGACGCGGAGAGAGCCTCCGTCTCGGCAGCAATGAGCGAGAAGCTGTTTAGTCATCTCTCTATATATACTTTCACAATGATGATCGCATTTACTGATTGCTTCTGACTGCAATTTAGAGAGGGAGGCAAGAGGCAGGCAGCACAGTTCACCTTTTATCCTGAGGAGTGACTGCTCCCCCTTCCTTCCCGTTCCCCAGATTTAGCCCTGCTTTGGGCGCCGGGTGTCTTTCCTCTCCAGGTAAGGCAGCGCTGCGAGCCGGCAAGATGGGGCTCTCCGGGCTCGCTGGGAGGGAGGGAGGGGAGAACTTTGCATGCATTTATCCTACGCCTGTTGCTTTTGCTCCTAAATCTCCCCAACAGACGGAGGGAGTGAGTGTTTTGCAGAAAGTTTTATTTTCTGGTGTTGCTGCGGAGGGGAAGGAAATGTGTGACTGACAGAAGACACCGAGGCTTTGGCTGACATATTTTGCTTTAAAGCAAAGGTCCCTTTGCTGCCTGAGCCTGGCCCAACAAGGACAGGAGAGGGAAGAAGGAATGATCTCCAGGCTCCTCACTCCCATTAGCAGTGTCTTCTCAAGAAACTCGCAGTATGTTTATCGGTCCGATTTCAGAACAGCCCTGTCTGATTCTAGAAAGGGACACACTGAGACTTTTGGTTTGTCTCTGCTCTCTTGAGATGATGAAGGGACATTGATCAGTGTGGTATTGCCGTGGGAGCTGAAGTGGTAAGAATCCATCCTTTATTTCTGGACTGTCTAGGTGAACAGTCCTTACTGTTCTCTACCAAGTTTTCCTCCTGAGCTTTCCTGAGCCAGCCTTGGCTCTCAGGGTTTTGCTCCAAACCGGGTGAGACCTGGGTGCCCCCGGAGCGGCTGCGGCGGAGCCAGCGCTGGTCGGGAGGGACCCCGAGGAGCCCTGGGAGGGGACAGGGGGCTCGTGCTCAGCCTTTTCTATCAAATTTCCTTGACTGTTTCATTGTCCCCATAGTTATCTAAAGAAAACAGATTCTTTTCTCTACAGATACTTTTTTAAATCAGGAAGAAAATGATTCTATTTTGTGTACCAGGTCTTCTAAATGTCATCAGCAGGGTGCCGGTCTGCTGTGAACCAGTTCCTTTTAAATTACACGCAGAAATGATGGTAATTAAAATTAGAAATATGGGTATAGCTAAATATATGCTTGTTAGAATTAGAGTGTGTCTGTTTTCTATGAGAGCTCCAGAGACTGTCAACAGTACATTAGATTTTGAGTCCAGCCAATTGCTTTCCAGCCTAAACAGACTGGTTAGCAGTCACCAAAATCCAAGCAGGCAGAAGAGGAGGATTCTTTCTACATTCTGGAATTCTGCATTCTAGATAAATGAGTTACTTCATCTTTTTTTGACTCAGCTTAGGTTGTGCAGGTCAGAATTATAAATCCAGTCCTCTCTCTCTCTCTCCCAATTTTCTTTCACTTCCTTCAGGGAGTAGTAGAGTTCCAAGGACTCATGGACAAGAAAAAGCAAAACCTCTGCAACAGGGAATTTCACTTCTCTTCTCTCTCTGGGTCCTTCAGATAATTTACAGCTGAAAAAGCCTCCTCTTCTGTGTATTTTGAGGATCAAATGGGACAGATTCAATGTAACTCTGAGAATGAAGCTGGCTGTGCTCTGTTGTTCTAACCAGCTGCATCTCTTGGACCCAGAGAAATGGGAACTAAATTTCCACACAAGAATTCCCCTTTCTTTCTCTTTTGCTTTAATCTCCTGTCCCTTTCATAGCTGAGATATTTATAGTTTCCCCACATATACTGCCAGCATGAAAGGACCCATTTTATCTTTTAAAAATTGATTTAAAAATGTGTAAGTCACTTATGAGTTACCAGTGCTTTATTGGAACAATTATATGTGAAGTATTTATAGTGCCTCAGCAGCTAATGTAGGTAACCTGGAATCTACAACCAAAGTTATCAAAGTACAGAAGAGGTTTCTAACGTGCTTCCCCTGAGAAATCAGGGGAGATGAGGATCCAATGAGCTGAAACTGGTCAGGTCACCTGTCAGTCCTGGCAGAAGGACTCTGGTGATGGTGCTAAGGGAAATTAAAACCCAGGGAAGACAGTTTGCCAGCAGGGAAAGCAGGAACAAGATGCCTTTTCTTGGTTTCTCAATTATTTGCCTGTACATATTTGGTGACTAACGGATGAAACGGTTCTTATTTTGCTGCCTCCTGTTCTTAAGTGTTTCATGGGAGTTAAAAGATCCACCACTGGTGGTAGAAGGCTGCAGTGTGAGCCCACGGAGCCCCTGGAGATGCCCTTTCAGCTGAGGGCTGGGGGAGCTGCTCAAAGTCACGCAGAGAGAGTTTCTGGTCCCCAGGGCGGCCGGGCCGGCGCGATCCGCGCAGGAAATTCCTCCTTGGGGGGGAGAGAAAAAGTGCTGCTTTAACACTGAACGATTCTTCAGGGGGAAACACTGTGGGATGTTTGCTCCAGTGCCATGTAGATAAGCAAAGTGTCTCCTTGGGATAAGCATCGCTCTGGGTTATTACATGTTCCGTAATTGCCAAGGCTCTTCAGCAGCAGTTAGACACTCGCACGAGGGATTTCAATTGTACTTTAGACAGTAAAATTGCACAGGAAGATGCTCCACATTAAGGTGATGAATGTTAATTTGCCCCAAAGAGGAAGAGCATTTCTCTGAGCACTTCAGGCATTTTCACCACGGACTGATTCCATCATTTTTTATTCAGTGTTTTGATGGCCCATTGGAATCAATAATGCTGCAGCCTTACCGGCTGGAATGGCAGCTTTCATATAAGTTCAAAACTTGAGAGTAAAACTGCCTACAAAGATACAATTAGGCTTTGAGGCAGTGGAATCAATGGAATTGATAAATTGGCTTTTGATAGGGCTCCTAATGCACCTTGTATGACCTTTCTTCAGATAATTTCATGGTAGAATTAGAAAAGCAGTAGGGAAGTGAAAGTAAAAACAAGTTAAAACAAAAGTTAAAGACTGTAAGAACTCTGACCAAAGATCAAAAAGATAAATTCATGGCTAGATCAGAATGCAAAAACTACTCAAACTTCAAGAGAATGTTGGCCTCCGGTGGCTGAGGATCTGGACAACTTGGGATATTCCTCTCTAAAAATCCAAGCGTACAGTGAACATGTTTTGTTTCAACCTAGGAGTCCTTCAGTTCTTCAGCTGAAGGATTCTTCCCCTGCAAGCCAGGAAAAAAGCAAAGCAACTTCCTGCTGGGAAGAAATTCTCCAGCTTTGGAGCCTTCCTTCATTCCAGTGTTCTTGGTATTTGTTAGCTTAATCCATCAGCCTTCACACCTGGGATTGAAGCTTACGGGTGCTCAGGTATTCTGAACAATGTTTCCCCAAAATCAGAATTTTCCTCTGGTCCAGTGGAGGCTGCAGTGTTTGCCAAGAGGAAACTCCACCTCTCAATGAAGGAGAGCAGCAGAAAACTGCTGCTGAGGCCAGGCCTTGAATTAAAGATGGAAGATAGCTGGTGAAAACCAGAGAAATATTTCCATTTCTTTCAACTAAAGATGTTCTTAGGGCAAGATTCAGAACATACTGAACTTGTTTAGGACTGGAAATGCAGCTAAGCCCAGTCATGGGTTTTGGTGGTGTACGATTCCACTGCAGGCTGATTTCACTGGAGTTCCCAGCTCTTTCTTGACAGCTGTAGTTAAACTGATGAGCACAGGAGGCTTACACCTGGGGAATTATGGATTAGTCTTGTTTGTGAGGAAGCAAATATAAATTACTGTGTTTATGCTACTTTTAAAATGCTTTTAATGAGGAATCATTTGCTATTCAAAATTTCAATCTATAATAATGCCATAACCCCGCTGAGCTGATTATCATATGCCTTGTTCAACATCATTCTTCACCTGGGAGGTGAGGGTGAGGCAGTGGTGTGAAACTCTCGTGTCTGTGCTCATCCTGGGCTCTTCCAGCCAGCGGGGCAGGCCCCGTGTGACTGTGTGCTGTGTTCTCTTCTGTGTTCTAGATGGAACTGCTCTGACTCCCAGCAGGTCCCAGGAGCATCCCAAGCCTCATCTCCAGTAACACGGCCCGGGCTCACCATGGCGGCAGGAGTGGCAGCGTGGTTGCCCTTCGCCAGGGCGGCTGCCATAGGATGGATGCCGGTGGCCAACTGTCCCATGCCACTGGCTCCAACGGAGAAGAACAAGAGGCAGGATGAGCTGATCATCCTCAATGTGAGTGGCAGGCGTTTCCAGACCTGGAGGACTACACTGGAGAGGTACCCGGACACTCTCCTGGGCAGCACGGAGAAGGAGTTCTTCTTCAATGAAGACACCAAGGAGTATTTCTTTGACCGGGACCCCGAGGTCTTCAGGTGCATCCTCAATTTTTATAGAACTGGCAAGCTGCACTACCCCAGGTACGAGTGCATCTCTGCCTACGACGAAGAGCTCGCCTTCTACGGGATCCTTCCCGAGATCATCGGGGACTGCTGCTACGAAGAGTACAAGGACAGGAAGCGGGAGAACGCGGAGCGGCTGATGGATGACAATGACTCGGAGAACAACCAGGAGGGCTCCATGCCCTCGCTGAGCTTCCGGCAGACCATGTGGCGAGCCTTCGAGAACCCCCACACCAGCACCTTAGCCTTAGTCTTTTACTACGTCACCGGGTTCTTTATCGCCGTCTCTGTGATCACCAACGTGGTGGAGACCGTGCCCTGCGGCACCGTGCCGGGTAACAAGGAGCTGCCCTGCGGGGAGCGCTACGCCGTGGCTTTCTTTTGCCTGGACACGGCGTGCGTGATGATCTTCACCGTCGAGTACCTGCTGAGACTCTTCGCGGCGCCCAGCCGCTACCGCTTCATCCGCAGCGTGATGAGCATCATCGACGTGGTGGCCATCATGCCCTACTACATCGGCCTGGTGATGACCAACAACGAGGACGTCAGCGGAGCCTTTGTCACGCTAAGGGTTTTTAGGGTTTTCAGGATTTTCAAGTTCTCCCGCCATTCCCAAGGCCTGAGGATCTTGGGCTACACTTTGAAGAGCTGTGCCTCCGAGCTTGGCTTTCTCCTCTTTTCCCTCACTATGGCAATCATCATCTTTGCAACTGTGATGTTTTATGCAGAGAAAGGGTCCTCGGCAAGCAAATTCACCAGTATTCCTGCTTCCTTTTGGTACACTATTGTAACCATGACAACACTGGGGTGAGTATTACTTTTCCTTTTCCTGAGCAGCAGGCAAGCATGTACTGGGAGCTTGACTTCAGCTTCTCCTCAGCGTTTTCCTGGGTGCATGTTCGAGAAGGGGCTGGAAGTGTTGAGGGCTTGATTATTCTTTGCCTTACAACTTGTGCAATTTGTGTGCAGTTGTATAAACCAGAAAAAGCACTTACACCCACTTGACAAATGCTCGGCACCACGGTAAATGAGTGCAGGGGGAGCAGAGTGGTGGAGTAGCAGGTTGTGATTCATTCCTGCAGGAGGGAAAAGCTGACCCGACTGCAAGGGGCTGGGAGAGAGAGCTCTGTTCTCTCTGACATTGCCCCAGCCGTGCGTTCACACAAAGCTGCTGATGTATCTGTTGTGTCTCGTTGCAATGTCACTCGTTGTTTCTCCCCTTGGCTTGCCAGCAACTACAGATTTGCTGAATTCAAGTGGATGTTGTGGGTCACTGTACTGGAATGCTCAGTGATGGCCAGGACATGATCTGGTTTTTACTTAATCCAGCCGGATTGGGGTTTCTCGTCTGTGTTTAGCTGTGAGTCTGAGAACCGGCCGTGCTGTGGTGGTTTCAGTAGAATTTCAAACGTTCCCATGGACAGGTACAAAGATAATGAAATCAAAGCAAGGGGAATGTAGCCTGGAGGGCACTTTTCCCCCTTGGATTTCATTTCTGTCTCACAGATATTGCAACTAAGATTACAGATTTGTGCTTCTGCTGCTCTGAACTAAAACCTCTGCGAGCAGAATGGCCAAACCCTCACCCTGACAAGGTTATGTAGAGGAAAGTGGGCATTGCAGGCTGCTGCTTCAGGCACACATAAAGCCAGGAGCGAGTGCAATCTCCTCTTCCCACACATCAGAACAGTACAGGAAGTTTAGAGTTACTTTGCAAAGAGTTTTCTCACTGGAGATTTCACCCAGTTTAATATTCAGATGTAGACAATTCTCCTCCTTGTAACACAGTGACCACTTTTTCTCTAAACTGCTTCTGATTTTAAACACTTCTCTGTGCCTATTATACAGGAACAGGCTCACAGTATCACTTTTTAATTATTAAAATCATAATTCAGCTGTCAGAAAGGCGCCGAATCTGGGAACATGACAACCGAAAGCCTGAATTTCTTAAGTGCAAATGTAGAACCTGTTAGTCATAGTCACCTACAGATCTCCTATTCTTCCTTTTTAATAGCTAAGCAAAGTTTGCAAGTTTATGGAAAAAGCTGTTCCTTACTCTGGGAAAGGCAGCGCTTGGAAATCAAAGCTGGGCTTTGCATCCCAGCACTGCCCCACGCTGTGGCTCAGCTTTCCATATTCTGACTGGTCCAAACTGGTCAGTTCCCCGCTCCTGACCCCACCACTGTATCTGATCAGCTTCAGAGGGACCCCTGCCTTGGGTGGCTCCTTCCCGTGTCTCTGCACAAGGGGAGATGTGTGAAAATCCAGTTCTATTTTCAGATTCCCGTTTAATACTGGTCCCATCCAGCCCTGCACGAACACAGCCTGCACCCGTCCATGCCTGTGCTGTCACATCTCTGACAGGAGCCTCGCGGCCAGGGGCCATCCTGGGTGGGTTGGGAAGGGCTCCAGTAAGTGCAGAATGTGCAGGAGAGCAGCTGGGGCTCTGCTCCTGCCTCAGTTTGGGTCCCTTTCCCTCCCTTCCTGAGCACAGGGACAAACCCAGCGCTCCCAAGGACCTCAGAGTGTTCCCAACTTGTAATCACAGAAATCATAGAGGAACAAGTGCTGGGAAGGAGTTGACATGGATTTAAGAAATCAGACATTTAAACATGGCTTTGTCAGGGTTCATTGGGAAGGGACCTATAAAATGCTGTCAGTCTTAAAACTGAGACTCCTGGTATTACTGGTTTGGGTTGTTTGACTGATTTTTGGGTTGTTTCCACCTTCCTGACTCCCCCTGTGTGGGGTGGGGGTTAACCTCCTGGAGGAGTTCACCATCCAGGGCTAACCCTCCTGTCCCCTTCATCTCCCCAAAAATCCTTCCAGTTCTGACAAACTGGCACTTTCAGACAATATTTCATATACATCTTTCTTCAGAAGTCTTTTCAATCTGTTTGGAAGGATCTTGTTACTAATGAGAGTCCTGGCAATTCCAGCTGCACAGGTGCTGCCAGAAATGCAGCCAAGGTCTCCAATGTGCTCCTCAAGCCATCAGATCCCCTCCTCTGGCCACTTCACTGCTTGGATTTCAGCAGCACTCAGAGCTTTCACAGAGATCTTAAATATGTCCTGCCTTTTGCCCTTAATAGTTCAGCCAGCATCTAAAACAAGAAGCTATGAAGCACAACAGTTTTTAACTCAAAACCATAGATATATATCTATATGTAGTTTGTTTTCACCACCAATGTGTTTAAATCTGGGTAAGTGAAGGTTTCCCCGAGGCTGGAATGCCACCATTGCTTTGACAGAGAGCCTTGGAGGAGTGGTCTGGAATGTGCAGGAAAACTTTTTCCCTGATCCTAGGATTAACTCCATTTGTGTAGAGCAGAAGTTTACTTACAACAAGCAAGCAAACAAAGCCAAGAGTAGGAGACCTTGGGAGAGTAACCCTCCCACTGTCCTGTGCATCAGCTGCTCTCCCAAATTCCTGAGTATCTTTGGGATACAATAACACTTCCAGACTGACCCGTAAATAAAAGGCAATGCAAATGCATTTCTTCTTGAAGGTGAAGCCCAGCATCAATAAATGACCACTGGTTTTGGTGGGGTTACCATGCAAATCAGTTTAGAGAAATTTAGGATGACTGGCAGGCTCCTTAGGCAGTTAACAGGGAGCCAGGTACAGCAGCTTTTCTGGAGTGGGAAACAAAGCAAAGGAATTAAATTATACTGACCCTGCATCTCCAATCCCTCTGCTGTGCTCATCAGCCCTGGTTTAACAGAGACTGTTTTTAATTTAACACAATTTAAATTTTGCTCAGGAGGCTTTCTAATGAAAGCATTATTCTTGGGTGCATCTTAAATCAATCTGAATTACTGAAACAACTATTCAAAATTAATTCAAAATCATCTCTCCTATTCATGCAGAAACATTTTTCTCAAGAGGCCAACAGCTCCCCATCTCCTCTCGACAGCCCCAGTGCCACGAGCTCTGCCTTTGCCAGCCCCTTCCTGTGTCCTGCAGGAGCTTCTGACCCCTGGCCCCCAGCTCAGGGGTGCAAGTGCTGCCAAGAGCAGCAGAGGAGCGGTGCCAGGCCCATCCATGGCCCTGTCCTGGCTTTTAGCTAATTCAGTATGCAATCCCTGGGTTTACATCTCTATGGAAATGTGTTAATGAGAGTGAATTTGGTTCCCTTGGTACCAGTGCATTGGTTTTCATGGAATCACAGAACAGTGAGGGTTGGAAGGGACCTTAAAGCCCAGCTCATTCCAACCCCCAGCCATGGGCAGGGACACTTTCCACTAGCCCAGGCTGCTCCAAGCCCCACCCAGTACTCGGTTTAATTCACTTTTAGGGAGCGATACGGATGGGGAAGCCTCAGGTTCTGCTGCTGCCCCTCATGTGCAGCACAAACACAAAACCTCTGTCACCCCACTAAACCCCATGCCAGTTTTGCCCAGAGAAAGTGTTTTCTAAGCTTTTTACAGCTGTTTTCATTTCATCTGACAGCAGCAGTATGTTTCAGACTCCTAGGCAGTGTCTATGACCTGCAGCAGAGGCATCAAACTGTAGCTGTGAAAACCTGAGTGCCACATCTTCCTGCAGCCCTGCCGGGCATCCCCGAGAGGGGAAGGGAGACCTGGGATGGTTTGGGTTGGAGGGACCTTAAAGCCCATCCAGTGCTGCCCCTGCCATGGCAGGGACACCTCCCACTGCCCCAGGCTGCTCCAGCCCCATCCAGCCTGGCCTTGGGCACTGCCAGGGATCCGGGGGCTGCTCTGGGCACCTGTGCCAGGGCCTGCCCACGCTCATATTGCTTCCCAATATCCCATCCAGCCCTCTGGATGCCATTGTGGGAAGACATTTCCCCTTGTCCTGTCAGTCCATGCCCATGTAAAATGTTCTACATTTAAATTCTAGCTCATTTAAATGAGCTCCCCTTTAGGCACTGGAAGGTGCCGTAAGCAAGGAATATTACTGGGGGGAATTGTCACCGAGACATTTGGGCCATTTTTGTCAAGAAAGCAGCAGTAGCACAGCCTGAGCACTCAGTGAGTGCCACAGAGGCTGGTGCTGGCTTTGGCTTGTCCTGAGGGATACACTGTACAGCTTTCTCTCGCTTACAAAAGCTGAGCTCCCACAGCTCAGCGCCCTCAGGGTGCTCGTCAGAGAATCTCTCTGGCTGACTGTCGCCTTTACAATTTGCAAAGGCTTTTAGAGCCCTATCCCTCTTTCAGGTTGGGCTGCATTGCTCCATGGCTTTCAAAGACACAGCTCAGTGCACTTGGACAACACAGGCCCATCTGTATAATTCATTTAAGGAACCAGGTTAATGCTGGGAAGTCGATAAAACAGCCCTGCTGGCCTGGTTATGTCAACAGCCTGATCTGGAGCAAGAGCTGGAATTTCTTAGAAGGTTTATTAGCTGAGTGTGTAGAGAGCAGGGGTTTGAGGGTAGGGTCTGTTTGGTTTGTCCTGGCTCAGTGTTGCCTCTGCCAAATGTGGATCAGAGCGAACATGAGCGAGCGGGCGCCCTGAGAGAACATCAGTCTCTGTTTTGTTTATTTCTTGGTTTTTCTCCTCTTTGCTGGTGCTCAGTCGTGGCCAGGAGAGGGGACAGAGTGTGAGCGGTGCCGTGGCACGTGGGGGCCGTGGTGCTGCCAGCTGGGCTGAGCCCCGAGCACGTTCCAGCGTTCGCTGCCAGCACCGTGAGAGCAGAGCGAGCTCTGATTTCTGCACAGCAGAACCACTCAGGCTGATAGTAACCTTCATTCACCCTCCTTCACACAGACTGAGAGCACTGTGCAAAGTAAGGAAAATAATAAATCATCTCTGGAGCGCTGCCACTCCCGGCTCCTCGGGA